AAAATAAATCAAGGAGATGTTCTAAAAGAGAAATTTCTTCAATATTCCAACTAGGAGTTTACCGTAAATTCATGTTTAAAGTATAAAATATTTGTAATTTCTAAAGTGTGTTAAAGAGGTCTATGGCCAGAGAGACCAGTCTCTCCTGCATCCAGCACTATTTCCGGGATAAGTGTACGTTCAAAGGATGATCCTCCCAGCTTCAGTAAAGAAGAACAGGGGTAAGATGTGTTTATTATGCTGGATGTTTAACAAATTGAGAAATAAAATCAAGGAGAATGTCTTAAAAGAGAAATTCTGCAAATTCCAACAAGAGGTTTAACGGTAATTCATGTTTAAAAGTATAAATATTTGTAATTCTAATGTGTGTTAAAGAGGTCTATGGCCAGAGAGACCAGTCTCTCCTGCATCCAGCACTATTTCCGGGATAAGTGTACGTTCAAAGGATGATCCTCCCAGCTTCAGTAAAGAAGAACAGGGGTAAGATGTGTTTATTATGCTGGATGTTTAACAAATTGAGAAATAAAATCAAGGAGAATGTCTTAAAAGAGAAATTCTGCAAATTCCAACAAGAGGTTTAACGGTAATTCATGTTTAAAAGTATAAATATTTGTAATTCTAATGTGTGTTAAAGAGGTCTATGGCCAGAGAGACCAGTCTCTCCTGCATCCAGCACTATTTCCGGGATAAGTGTACGTTCAAAGGATGATCCTCCCAGCTTCAGTAAAGAAGAACAGGGGTAAGATGTGTTTATTATGCTGGATGTTTAACAAATTGAGAAATAAAATCAAGGAGAATGTCTTAAAAGAGAAATTCTGCAAATTCCAACAAGAGGTTTAACGGTAATTCATGTTTAAAAGTATAAATATTTGTAATTCTAATGTGTGTTAAAGAGGTCTATGGCCAGAGAGACCAGTCTCTCCTGCATCCAGCACTATTTCCGGGATAAGTGTACGTTCAAAGGATTATCCTCCCAACTTCAGTAAAGGAGAATGGGGGTAAGACGTGTTTATTATGCTGGATGTTTAACAAATTGAGAAATAAAATCAAGGAGAATGTCTTAAAAGAGAAATTCCTCAAATTCCAATAAGAGGTTTAACGGTAATTCATGTTTAAAAGTATTAATATTTGTAATTCTAATGTGTGTTAAAGAGGTCTATGGCCAGAGAGACCAGTCTCTACTGCATCCAGCACTATTTCTGGGATAAGTGTACGTTCAAAGGATTATCCTCCCAACTTCAGTTAAGGAGAACAGGGGTAAAATGTGTTTATTATGCTGGATTATTGCTACAGAAGGAAATAAATTCACTGAAACAGACTATAAATTCCACTTGTATGTTGTTGGATATTTTTGGAATTGACATTTTTAATTATTATCTATGTAGAATATTTCCAAAGCCGGATAAAACGTCTATTAAAGTTAGCAAACGCCAAGAACCTCTGCAATTGCTTGCGGGTTCCAGGCTGGGGCCACTCTGCTACAGCACTGACCTTTGCAGGGTCCATCCGCACACTTCCTGAGGACACAATAAAACCCAGGAATAACACCTCTGTGACATGAAATACACACTTCTCTGCCTTGACAAAGAGCTGATTCTCGAGCAGTCTTTGGAGAACCCGGCGGACATGTTGAGTATGCTCCTGCTCTGACCTGGAAAAGATCAGAATGTTGTCAAAATCTGTTGAGTATGTCCCGGAGTACATCATTCACTAAGGCCTGGAACACCGCAGGGGCATTAGTCAGACCGAAAGGCATGACCAGGTACTCGTAGTGTCCACTGGTTGTGTTGAGTGCAGTCTTCCATTGGTCCCCCTGCCTAATACGAACGAGGTGGTATGCATTCCTGAGGTCCAGTTTGCTGAATATGGTTGTGCCTTGTAACAGCTCAAAAGCAGAGGAAGTCAAAGAGAGAGGGTACCTGTTTGTGATGGTTATTTCATTAAGACCCCTGTAATCTATTCAGGGGCGTAGAGACTTGTCCTTCTTCTCAACGAAAAAGAACTCAGCTCCAGCTGGAGAGGACATCGGCCGGATGATGCCGGCAGCCAAAGAGCTCTGGATGTACGTCTCCATGGCCCCTCGCTCCGGTGCAGACAGAGAGTAGATGGAGGTGGTATCGGAGTGGCTGCAGCAGAGGTTAGGCAGGTGGCATTGATTTCCCCAACCCAAAATTAACCCAGACGACCAGTCAATATGGAGGTTGTGTTCCTTTAACCAAGGATTACCCAGAATCAGGACAGCTTGCGGTGAGTGGATGAGGTGGAATGATATTTGTACAGAATGATTACCTGAGAGTTGAAGGCCCACAGGCTGTGTGCGGTGAGTAACCCGGAATAGTAGTCTCCCATCCAGCGCGTTCGCCACAAGGGGGTGAGGAAGGGGCTCCGTACTCAGCCCTAGTTCCTTGACCAAACTGTAGTCCATAAAGCTAGCGTCAGCCCCAGAGTCTATGAAGGCTGACAGACTTACTGACTGGGTAGCGGTGACCACCCGGGCACGGGTAACCGTCTGGATCTTGGAGGTTCGGACGTGGCGTGGCTCACCAGTAACCTCAGATCTACTGATGAGCCCTGTCTTTTGCTGGGCAATGCTGCTGCTAAAGTGCGAAACTCAATAGCATAGTCCAGTACTCTTGTCTTGCCCTGGCAAAGACTAAGAAGAGCCCTTGAGCTATTGCGGCCGGGGGTTCCATGGTCAAAAACCCTTGTAAGGGCCGATGAAAAATCTGCATAAGACTGGCAGATTGGTGACTGTTTAGCTCATTCAGCTGTGGCATTCCCGAGCTTGGCCAGTCAGGTGGGTAATGACTGTGGCCACCCTTGCTCTCTCCGTGACGTAGGATGAAGGATTAAGTAGCGAGCAAGTTGTCAAAAAAGAGCGACAGGTGCCTGGGTTCCCATCGTACCTCTCGATCTGGAGCCCTCTGGGCATGGGAAAGCGCAGCTCAGCGGTCGGCCCCTCCCGTGAAGGTGGGCCCGGGGCATCTGTTCGCTCTGGGTCAGCAGCCCCCACCACTCCTTGTGCCTGGTGTGAGAGTGAGCTTATCATGCCCTCCAGGGATGACTGGAAACACCCCTGATTAGCATGAAGCTCCTGCATGGAGGCGGCGAGGGAGTTTAGTAGGTGCTCGTGGTGGTGGCCCTAGTTCTGGACCACAGCTTGGAGTGGGTTGGGCTCTGCTGAGTCTGTCATGGTCAGGTTATGCTGTGAGAGGTCAGGACTTCGACTCCCGAAGGCAATAAAAAACATTTTACTTGCAGAATAAATTAATGCGAGAAAAAAAAAAGGCAGCACAGGGACAGGTGGACTTCACACGCTCTTCCACCCATCCATCCATTTTCAACCGCTTATCCGGGGTCGGGTCGCGGGGGCAACAGCAGGGGACCCCAAACTTCCCTTTCCCGGGCCACATCTACCAGCTCTGACTGGGGAATCCCAAGGCGTTCCCAGGCCAGTGCAGAGATATAATCTCTCCACCTAGTCCTGGGTCTTCCCCGGGGCCTCTTCCCAGCTGGCCGTGCCTGGAACACCTCCCTAGTGAGGCGCCCAGATGCCCAAACCACCTCAACAGGCTCCTTTCGATGCAAAGGAGCAGCGGCTCTACTCCGAGCTCCTCGCGAATGGCTGAGTTTCTCACCCTATGCCTAAGGGAGACGCCAGCCACTCTCCTGAGGAAACCCATTTCGGCCGCTTGTACCCGTGACCTAGTTCTTTCGGTCATGACCCATCCTTCATGACCATGAGGGTAGGAACGAAGATTGACCGGGAGATCGAGAGCTTTGCCTTCCGGCTCAGCTCTCTTTTCATCACAACGGTGCGGTAAAGCGAGTGCAATACCGCCCCCGCTGCTCATATTCTCCGGCCAAACTCACACTCCATCTTCCCCTTACTCGTGAACAAGACCCCAAGGTACTTGAACTCTTTCACTACACATTCCCTACCTGGAGTAGGCAATCCATCGGTTTCCTGCTGAGAACCATGGCCCTTGTAGGGCCATGGGAATACCTGACTACAAACATGTAACTCGGGGAAGGACAAAAGATAACCTGACACGGACAAGTGGGGGACTGAGGCTTAAATACAGGTGGAGGTAATTACAAACTAAACTCAGCTGTGGGGAGAAACGAAGGGCGAGAAACTAAATACAGGAAGTGCAGTGGTTACAAAAATAAAAACAGGAAGTTAATCTTCACCACCTCTGCGAGTCTCACAAAATGCCTTAAAGGAGAAATAGTGTAACATCCAGTTAGAGGTTTATGACTACTAAAGATGTTCAAAGTATTAAAGTTGGTAATTATAATTTGTGTAGAAGATTTTCGAAGCCAGAAGGACCAGTTTCTCCTGCATCCAGTCCTGTTTCAGTAAAAAGTGACAATTCCAAGGATGATTCTCCCAACTTCAGTAAAGGAGAACAGAGGTAAGATGGGCGGATGTTGGATGTTTAACGAAAGGAGAAATAAAATTAAAGCAAATATCTTGAAAGAGAAATACTGCAAATTCCAATGAGACACTTAACGGTAATTAATAGGTTAAAATCAATATTTTCAATTATAATGTGTGTTATAAGAGGTCTATGGCCAGAGAGACCAGTCTAACCCTATGCTGGATGCTTGACAGAGAACAACTCCAAGTCAAAAAAATATATATTTAAGACAATCATTTGTGATAAAATGGATATTCTCCCCTTAAAGCTCAAGTTCAGTTCTGTCTTTGTATTAAAGCCTGTCTGAGCTGGAACATGCTCCAACTGTGGATGATGCTCTCAACTTCTTTCCTGTGAATAGGTAGGAAAATACATGCAGTATACGGTTGTTAATAACAGAAGAAAACTGATGATATGAGGACAAATCTGTCTTTCTGTATTGACACTAACATATCTTAACTTTGCACCTAAGTCCTTCAATGGAGACTGGCCAGGAGAGGAAAGACATCAGGACAGGTAGACAACGAATGATCAACATATATACTTTTTAAATGAACAACCGTTTTTAAGTTAAAGACATTTCAAATGTAGATGTACATTTGTTTATTGTCCTATTGCCTCTGAGCCTTAACTGCAGGTAGAACACAATACAGCGTGTCATGCTGTACTTTATAACTTTTGTATTGTGTAGGAGTATAAAATAAAATGCAGTTATGTAATCTGCTTTCTTTGAATCTTCTTTATCATTTCAATAGACAAAGATGCCCTGCAGAGGAAAATCCTTCATCAGTATGAAGAGGAACTGAAAGGATTAGAAACAGAGACAGAACTCTTTGAGATACAGAAAGCTACAGCCCTCAAATCCTTTGATCACTTGTTCAAAAAGAGAACGGTGCTGACGAAGGGAGTGGCAGGTGTTGGCAAAACATTTCAAACAAAGTTGTTCATGGTAGATTGGGCAAAACAAAAATCCAACAAAAAGATTAACTTGATTGTGTCATTTAACTTTGATTGGCTGAATTCAAGAAAGAAAGATCAAAGTCTAAAAGATCTGATTCGTCAGTCCCTAAGTGAGGATGAACACAGAGTTTACAACTACAAAGAGTGTAAAATAGCTTTTGTCCTTGATGGCTTGGAGAAATGTGAACTTCCTCTGGACTTCCAAAAGAACAAGAAACTAACGGATATGGAAGAGGAAGCTTCGATGGACGTGCTGCTAACAAACCTCATCAAGGGGAATCTGCTTCCCTCTGCTAAGCTGTGGATCCTCTCTCAACCATCAGGAGTTAACAAGATTCCTCCTGATTATATTAAGAAAGTGACAGAATGTCGAGGTATGAAACCATAACAGTAACCTTTATGTATATGTATTTATTCTCAACAACACTGTTTACTTATTATGCAATGAATAATCTTTGCTGACTGTGTTCAAAACCATCCACCTTAATGTCCTTCATCATCCATAACGTTTTATTTATTCAGAGACAAAACGATGGCAGAAGCTGACCTCAGCCCTCCGAGCAAGAATTCTCAGAGAAAACCCTCAAGAAGAAGACATAAATCATCCTGACAAGAAAAACATTGAGCATGTTATGAGAAACGATCGAAGTGGTGAGGTCGACAGTGAAGAGAACAATGTGACACGAGTCAATGCAGGATCGGACATCTTTAAAGAAACAAAAGGGAAAAAAATCAAAACTGTGCAGACCACCAAAGAAGCTGGAATAGAAAAATCATTCTATGTGCAGAAATTCTTAAGAGAGTGGGCTAAAAATGACAAGTCACCTTTAGGGGATCACATCCTAATTCAACTTAACCTCTTGACGCTGAATTTCAAGGAGAAAGTCAGTTTGATGGGACTTGTTAATCGTTTCATCAATGAAACAAAGAGATCTGTGGTCTCTACCTCTGACCAGTTCCCAGTGTTATTTGTCTTGCGTGGTTTGGATGCTTACCAACGTCCTCTTGACTTTGACATTAACGACACTGTGACTGACGTCAGAGAACCAGCTTCAGTGGATGTGATACTGACAAACCTCATCAGAGGAACCCTGCTTCCTTCTGCCAGAATCTGGATAACCTGCCCACTGAAGTTGCCTGACGCATGTGTCGACAGGATGACACAAATACGATGTAAGCTTATGGATTGTTTAAAGTACTATAAATATGTGTGCTATCAAATCCAAGCATGTGATAAGTGTTTAATTCAAATTCAAGCATTCTTGTTTTAGATCAAAACTGCTATGAAAGGAAAACCTGTATCTGCTGATACAGAGTCCGATACTAATATTTTCTGTTGACTAAAAATGTTTCTGAACCAGTGAAATACCAGCTATAGACTGTTGAATCTTCTCTGGCTCACCTTATTTTTACCAAGCTTCTGGATCCAAGCGGTAGGGCAGCGCTGCAACAGAACAGTAAAGAAAGGATTAGAACTTGGTCCACTTTATTTTAGCTGATAACATCCATTAAAATATGTCTGTATGAGCACCAATTGGGACATGACTAGTTTTTAAGCACATGGTTTTATATATTCATTTAGTGGCTGCCAATCAACTGCGCGATTGTACTTAAAGGAATTAAGAAAGCTAATTTACAATGTGTCTAAAATAAACTGTGAAATCCAACCTGCAGGATAAGAGGAAAAATAAGATTTACACTCAAACCAACTACAGTGTCATGACTAATATTCATATTCAGTATCTTCTTACACAAATATATACAAGTTTTAAGCTCTGCTTCATTTTCACTTCTTGATGCTTTGGTTTGGAATTGATGAACTGCACTATGATTGAGGTGATGCATTATCACAACTATTGTCTAATTTTCACCCTACAGGGAAGCCGGATATTGCGAGTCGAAAGATGCTCAAATCTCAGCTGAAGGAGCAATTTTCCCATGTACCTGAGGGGACCGATATGCAGAAACCATCTGCTCTCCTGAATGAGATCTACACAGACCTCTACATTATCGAGGGACAGAGGGGAGAGGTCAATGCTCAGCATGAGATCCGACAAGTTCAAGATGCAAAGTTCAAACCAGACGGAGAAGAAATAATGATTAAATATCATGACATCTTCAAACAGTCTCCTGGATTAAATATACCCATTAGAACTGTGCTGACGGTGGGAGTGGCTGGCATCGGAAAGACGTTTGGCACAAAGAAGTACATGCTGGACTGGGCCGAAGACAAAGCCAACGGGGACATGTTCTATATGTTTCCGCTCTCCTTTCGGGAACTAAATTTGAGAAAAGAGCAAAAACTCAGTTTGGAGGAACTCCTTCATCAGTTTTTCCCAAGTATGAAGACATCAGAAATAAAGGACTATGACCAGTACAGAATCCTGGTTGTCCTGGATGGTCTTGACGAATGTCGCCTTGATCTTGACTTCAATAAAAGCACAGATTGGACGGAAATGAGAAAGCCAACCTCAGTCAATGTTCTGCTGACAAACCTCATCCAAGGAAATCTGCTTTCAAACGCTCAAATCTGGATCACCTCCCGACCTGCAGCATCCAACCACATCCCTGCTGATAAAGTGGACCGGGTTACAGAGGTACGAGGATTCAATAATGAGCAAAAGGAGGAGTACTTCAGGAAGAGATTTAGTGATGAAGAGTTGGCTGAGAAAATCTTGTCACATGTCAAACAATGTCGGAGCCTTTACATCATGTGTCACGTCCCTGTCTTCTGCTACATCACAGCAAAGGTTCTGGAGGACTTTGTGATCAGAAAGAAGGAAGGAAGGATGCCCAAGACTATGACTGACATGTACATTTACTTTATAATGTTACAGTGCAGACAGGCGAATGTGAAGTATGGAGAAGATGTGACAGTTGAGACTTCTGACACAAATTCCTGCTGGAATACAACAAACAAGGAAACAATCATGTCTCTGGGGAAATTGGCTTTTGATGGGCTCCAAGAAGGAAACCTTCTCTACACTGAAGAGAACTTGACAGACTGCGGAGTTGACATTGAAAAAACTGCCGTCTTCTCAGGATTATTCACACAGGTCACACGAGAAGCCTCTGGGCTTTACCCACAGAAATTGTTTTGCTTCGTCCATCTGAGCGTTCAAGAGTTCCTGGCAGCTTTTCATGTCTTTCTAATATTCCAAAACACAGGAGAAAATCTGCTTGCGGGTGGTGGAGACTCACCTGCAGACTTCTACAAGACGGCAGTGAACAAGGCTTTAGAAAGCAAAACTGGAGAATGGGATTTGTTCCTCCGTTTCCTGTTAGGCCTTTCTCTGGAGACAAATCAGAATCTACTGGAGGAACTGCTGAAGAAAACCGAACATAATGACAACATCATGAAGGAAACCATTGGGTACATAAAAGAAAAGATCAGGGAAGAGAATAGTGATGCTGATAAGAATCTCAATCTGTTCCACTGTCTGAATGAGCTGAATGACCACTCTCTTGTAGAGGAAGTGAAAACATACCTGCAGTCAGAGACAGTCACGTTTGAAGAGTTCTCCACCTCCCAGTGGTCAGCTCTGACCTTTGTGCTGCTCACATCAGATGAGAAGTTTGATGTGTTTGATCTGAAAAGATACCTGAAATCAGAGAAAGTTCTTTTGGGAATGTTGCCGGTGGTTAAAGTCTCCAAAACAGCTTTGTAAGTATTTAAGAAATATCCATTTGCTATAGTGTTATACACTACATGATTCTACCTATTTATTCAAATCTGAATCAAGTTTACCATTTTAAGTGGCTTGATTTTGGGCTATGATTTGTCATCTTTGGGCAATTGTACTATGTTTTTGGTTGGATTTGTTCATTGGTCCGTTTGTCTGCAGAATTACAGAGAAACCTCTGGCCTAATTTTAATAAAGTTAGTGAGAGTGGATCAAGGCCCAAGGAAGAAAAGATAACATTTGGAAATTCTCTTTTAATTGATAAAAATGCCCTTTATTTTGGTGCCAGGTGCTCGATGTTTTTTAAAATATGATTTCTTTCTAGCCAAAAACCAAAAAAGTTTTTTTCAAGATTGGACCATTTGATTTGGCTAGCATTGATCACAGGAATGGTAGGGAGCTTTAACTGGAATGAAAGAGAATAGAACACATCTCTTTGTTGTGGATATTTAGTACACGTTCTATTTAATGCAGAGATGTCTGAGGAACATTAAAGGCCAATTTGAATCGTGATGTAGTTTGAGTGGAAGAGTATTCAAATGCATGTAAAGCCTGTGTCATCTGCATAAGTCTGTGTAGGAGTGATACTATTGTTTATATATATTTGCTACTTATTCCAGAGGAGGTTTTTTCTGAGACTTTTTCATACGGATATTATGTGTTCTGTCCTTAGATATATATGAGTAATGTAATTGTCAATATAAAAAGCATTAATGTTCAGTAGAAGGCTCTGGATTGATATCATCATTTAACTTATTAAATTACTGTTTAGCAGAGACAAAGTGGTCTGAACTTTTTTAACAGTTTTCCTATCTTACCTGCAAATTGCTGTGAGGTTGAGTCATTTGTGTTAGAAGGAAGTCGATGTCAGATAGCAATGGGATGTAGAACATTTCAACAGCATGGCCTGGTTTGGTTTGATGTGGTTTGATGTCTAAACATTGACAGAGATATTACAATAATAACAATAATAAGCTCATTCATGCGTACCAATATTTTCACAGGCTGAGCTGGTGTGAGCTCTCTCAGGAATCCTGCAGAGGTCTCGCGTCCTCAGTGATCGGCGCCCCGTCTTCTAATCTGACAGAGCTGGACCTGAGTCATAACGACCTGTTGGATTCAGGTGTGCAGATGCTCGCGGGAGGCCTGCAGAGTCCACATTGTAGGCTGGAGATTCTCAAGTAAGTGTATTTACTTTGCATTTCATAGCGAGCCACAGGAAACCCCCAGGATGTTAAGGGGAAAAAAAACTCTCCACTAAGTAGTGCTGTTACTACACATTTCTACCAGAAAAGGTAAGGCAGATAATTGGGGGAAGGGGAGGACTGCATAATCGCAGACTGAACACACTGAAGGTAGAGAGACAATCATATTTATAAGAGACAGCAGCAAGATGATTCAGGCTAACGATGTAATGGTTTTTCTGTGCTTATTAGATAGAGAGAGACTCGCCTCCTCAGACGTGGTGTGGCGATATTCTGGTGATGTTCAACCTGTGACTTAGAAATGAAGGCATTGGTGTCTGTTGACAATAACAATTCCTTTTTAAATAGATGTAATACAATAATTTTATGAAAAGGAAGAGAAACTTCCAAAATCATTTTTTGCAAGGTTTAAGAGGATGTTGGTACTGTTATGGTTAGGGTAAGTCTATAGGAAATGAGTGTTAAGTCCCCACGAAAACACAGCATGTGTGTGTGTGTGTGTGTTGTCTGCAGGCTGTTAGGTTGTCAGGTGACGGAGAAAGGCTGCTCCTTCCTGGCCTCTGCACTCAAGTCCAACACGGCCTCCACCCTAAAACTGCTGGATCTGAGCTACAATCACCCAGGAGTCAACGGGAAGGCAGAGCTGAATGCTATAGTTGAAGATCCAAATATGAGCCTGAAGACACTCTGGTACATCAAGATGTCAGAATGTGTCTATATGTGTAGAGTTGTATTGACATTGCTGGTTCTCCTAATTATAAGACTACATGTACACTATTGCAAAATCTTAACTCGCAATATATTAACAAATATATTTTGCAGTTTGGACCATGATGGAGCACATCGGTTAAAGCCAGGACTGAAGAAGTGTATGTTTTTTTTACTATTTCAATGAATTTAATGTGTTTCTTTAATATGTAATCACTTCAGTAGAGCCTTAGACAATAAGGCCATCCTATTAAACTTTACATAAACCCCTCAATGATATGATATTTGTATCACTTTCAGATGGCGATGATCTGAAGCTGGATGAAATCGCCGCAAGCAAGAGGCTCGTTCTGTCTGATGGAGGCAGGAAAGCAAAAACTGTACAACTGGTGAAGGAGAAAGTGCAACGACCTGAATGCGCCGACAGATTTAAGAGGACTCAGGTGTTTTGTGAGAAAGGCCTAAACGGTCTCTGCTACTGGGAGGTGGAGTGTAAAGGGGAGGTCGGTATCGCAGTGGCATATAGAACGGTGGGTAGAAGATGGGACAGAAGTGGTGGCCTGGGATGCAATGACAAGTCCTGGAGCCTGCTCTGCTCTAAGACCAGATACACTGCAATTCATGGGAAGACATCCAAAGATGTCAAACCCAACAACGGAAAGACATCCAAAGATATTGAGCCTAACATCAAGAAGACGTCCAAAGGTGTTAAGTCTAACATCAAGAAGACGTCCAAAGGTGTTGAGTCTAACATCAAGAAGACGTCCAAAGGTGTTGAGCCTAACATCAAGAAGACGTTCAAAGGTGTTGAGCCTAACATCAAGAAGACGTCCAAAGGTGTTGAGCCTAACATCAAGAAGACGTCTAAAGGTGTTGAGCCCAACGACCAGAAGTACAAAGATGTTGAGATATTGAGCCCCAACAATGGGAAGACATCCAATGATATTGAGCACAAGGACAAGATGACGTCTCAAGATGTTGAGCCCAACGACCACAAGAAGTACAAAGCGGTTGAGCCTAACAATGGGAAGACATTCGAAGATGTTGATCATAACGGCGAGAGGACACCTGAAGCTGGTAATCCTAAAGAGAACATACACCATACAAAAAAAATAGGCATTTTTCTGGATTGGGAAGCTGGTTCTCTGACTTATTACTGTGTCAGATCTGAAAAGAAGGAGCTCATACACACCTTTCATGGCAAATTCACAGAACCTGTCTTCCCATGCTTCTGGTTTAAGAAAGGCTCTGTGACTTTGTGTAATGATCCCTAGATCAGAGGTCACTAACTGGCGGACCGCGGTCTGAATCCGGACCTAGAAGCCATCCCATCTGGACCTGGACCAAAAGCTAAAAAGACCGTTGTGATTTAAACGTGATGGCGCACTTTCCGACCGGCGCAGCTTTGGTCGTCTTTACGATAGTGACTTAAATCACCGACCAATTGCAATCGAGTTAAACCATCCCACGTGATACTACTCGACCAATCGAGTCGTTGCATTCCAGGCAGGATGATATTGTCTCGACACTGCAGACAGACGAGAGAGGTAGTGGCAAATTACAAATAAAAAGACTGTAAGAAGAAAAGAAAGATAGCGAAAAGCAAAAACATGTGGACGGACGGGTTTCTGCTCATACTTCCCACTGCAGCACTAAACCAGTGTCTCATGTGCTCAGAACCTGTTGAAACGCCATCATGAGGCACAATGAGCTCCACATGAGGACGAGAACCTGATGCATTAAGACCAGGTTTAACATCCTGGCAGGAAAAACTAGATCTTAATTCTCCCAAAACAGTGGATATATATTCTATTCTATTCAACTGTTAAAATGTGTTTAGATTTATTATTTAGAATTTGCTGAGACTGTTGAGTCCAAATGTGATGCAGGAAAGGGGAAATTCAAGTTTTTCTATTTTATTTTTATTTGAAGTATATCTTTTTCTACCCAAGAAGTATATATTTTTCTACCCTGCACGGTAGTGTGGTGGTTAGCACTGTCGCCTCACAGCAAGAAGGTCCTGGGTTTGACTCCGCCCAGTGGCCTTTCTGTGTGGAGTCTGCATGTTCTCCCTGTGTCTACACGGGGTCTCCCTGGGTACCCCGGCTTCCTCCTACAGTCCAAAGACGCTCTGGGGATCAGGTTGATTGGGGACTTCCCATCCGTCCACCTGCCCGTAGGTGTAGGAGTGTGAGTGTGAATGTTGTTAGCCCTGGAGGCCAACCCAAAGTGTACCCCGTCTCTTGCCCGAAGTTGGCCCCCCCCAGTGTGCAGGATAAGCGGTTTGAAGATGGGTGGATATTTTTCTACCCAATGTTAATAGATCTTTTAATATTTTACAAGGATATTGTCTTCTTACAATGTAATATAATTGATGTTAATGTATACATGTGGGTTGGATTGTAACACAGTGGAACCTGTAATAGAAGAGCTGTATGCTAACCCACAATCTGCCAGTACAAATGATGATATCAATAACTCTACTGTTCTCTTAAGATGAAGGAAATAAACATACCAAACTACAGATTGTAATCTTTATCTTTATTTTGATTTTATACATTTAGAACTGGGAAAAGTTTTCTGTCTCGTCCATGTGTCTTTCTCCCCCTGTGTACACGGTTTCTGTTTGTTCCTCAGAACAGTCTAATACACATTTATTGACCTTTCCCATCTGAATCCAAACGACAGTGGTGTGAGTTTTGATGTAGGGTGTTTGAGAGGAATCCTGCTCAATAGAGAGTTATATGGGTGAGCGAAAGCAATATAATATTTGTAATATTATAGATTAAATCCATTATACTGGTGTGTGGGGGCATCCAAATTGCAGCGGCAATAAATTACACCCATACAGGACAGGCCCAAAAGATAGCTGGAGCACAGAACTTGGATAATTAATTTCTTAAAGGAAAAGTCCTGAACAATATGTCACCCGGCTCATTGAGGTCCTGTCTGTACAAGCTGCTTCATTGTTTTAATAAAACTAATTCTTGACCAAATCTTTAAAGTGGTTGAAAAACTGAGTTAAACATTTAGTTCTGGGTCCACAGAAAAGACATTCCATTCCATTCCATTACATGTCATTTAGCTGACGCTTTTATCCAAAGCGACTTACAATAAGTGCATTCAACCATAAGGGTACAAACTCAGAAGAACAAAGACAGCATGAAAACACCTGGGGCCTCATTTATAAAACCTTGCGTAGGATTTGCGCCAGAAGTGGCGTACGGATGAAACGTAGGACGTGCACGTCCTACGCAGTTTTCCCTTAATAAATCACAATCACTTCTAAATGCAGCGCAGCTTTTGCGGCTTGCCCATATATAGTCTGTGGAACGCCCACAAATTAATATTCAGCGATTTCGAAATCATGACAAACACTGAGAGGAAAACGAAGAAACATAACTTCACTCAGTGTGAAGTCGAAATGATCATTGGGAGGTGGAAAGGAGAAGTCTAATGCTCTTTGGAGGGCACAGTGTGGACATCACTAATGCCAAAAAGGCACTCGAGTGGCAAAAGGTTGCAGAGCAACGCTGCAGCCTCACAACCTCGGGCCGGCCGAAATAAAGAAAAAATGGTCTGACATCAAAGTGGATGCAGAAAAGCGTTTAGTGCGCCATCGCCAAAGTGTGTCTGCCACAGGGGGGGAGGGGACACCGCGACAGCGGCAATGCGCAAATCCTTCCATTTGACACATCTTTTAAGAGCGCAAGATCAGCCATTTCGCGTCATTACGCATTGTGACGGCATCATGGCATTTTATTACCGTCCATTTGATTGCATCTGACAAGCAACAGCCGTGTTTTGAGGATGAATTGCATAACATACCATTGCAGAACATTTTTCACTTTTCTTTTGAAAATGTGTTAATTTGTTTTTCTGTTTGTTTTACGCTGCAGATCGATCAAACGGGTGTTTGTGTTATTTATGAGAGGCAGTATTGGCATTTATTTTACACAACAGTCTAGTTTTACACACTTTCACACACGTTTGCGTGTTTCTTGCATTGGCCGACGGTTCTCATTTCACCCGTTTTTGTGTCCGAGCTTGCGTGAAGGACCGCACATTTTCCCGTCAAGTTTGCTTTTTATAAATACCAATTATTGCGTAGTGCGTACGCAACGTTTATAAATGAGGCCCCTGATCTTTGCTGCTACTTGACCGCACATCCTGAGCGCCGCACGCTCTTTTCTGTCAAGCTCTGCTTCTGTCTCTGAAGATTTGTTTAGATTAGAGAGCTGCCTGTTTGGGTTGAATGAATGAGTGTTTGTGTGAGTTTGCTGAATGGGGACGAGCCTGTGTGTGTGTGTGTGTGTGTGTGTGTGAGAAAAAACATTCTTGCACCAGCAATCCACAGACTTTATTTAAATCTTCTGCTGGTTATATTTGTCAATAATTTCTTAATTTTTTTTCAACCTTCATCCAATAATAGTGAATAAAATGAGCTCCTTTCTTCTGTTTGACAGCATCCGGAACTTCAATGAGCAAGAAGGACCGACGTCACTGAAGTTAACGTTCTTCTTTGTAACCCACAACGTTACGAGGCTCAAATATACAGAACTTGACTGTGTAGAAGTCAATACGTTTTTGGTCAGACGGAAAAAAAATATGTAATCAAAATCCTACTTTTTTTTAAAGATATGTCAGATTTCCTTTTCATTCATTTTGAAGCTTTAACATGTCTTTTACTGAGGAAAAACTAATAAGAATGGAAGGTAGAAAATACACAAAATGACAAAAACATCAGAGCTGGCTCTGGAACTGTGATTCATTGTTATTTACAGCTAGTTTTGCTTTTACCTGTTTGGATCTAAACAAACATTTTAAACTATAAATTATAAATTATTGTTTCTTTGAATATTAACTGAAACATTTACTCAAAATAGCACTTTTAGACTTATCCGTCTCTTTGAGGCCCAATGTTGTGAGGTTAGCTTGATTTACATTGTCAGTAACATCAGATCTGCTCTAACAACTCAAATGGAAGCTGTTATCAAGGTGATTTAGTAAAGCAAATGCAACTGAAGTATTTAAAATAGTTTGACTCTTGACCTCATGTGAATAAATGAAAATAAGGGCTTTCAGCACCCTTCACTTCCACTACTTCATAGATCTGCCCTGCAGCCTGAACAGACAAAGTGAATTAGACTCCGATACTGCATGTGTAATAATGTGTGTGTGTGTGTGTGTGTGTGTGTGTGTGTGTGTGTAGCTCTAGGGTGTTATGTCGTTTAATACTTTGCCACAGTTGTGTGTGTGCATGTGTGTGCGTGTCTATTCTAGCTGTCATTTAATCCATACTCAGGTTGCGCCGATCTCACCCTCTGCGTCCACTTTGCGTCTCGCGGACCAATCACGTTCCACATTCCTCCACCTTCCCAGGATCCCGGGGACCAAGGGTGCACGGCTGCAGGCCGTTACCATGGCGTCGGGGTGATGAGGTCACCCCCTCTTGGTACTTCAGTAATTAGATGAGAGCTGATGCGGTAAGATAGGAAGGGATGAAGAGAGGGGGGAGGAAGAGCATTGTAACACCCTCCATTAAAGAACAAATAAATATTGTTTTACTTTTTGCTGCACACACATACATGTTTGAATGTCTAATATTTCCTAGTATAACGCCCGACACCAATCCTCAAATTACATCACAATACATGCAATGTATAAAACAACAGTATTAAGTTCTGACCCTTAAACAACAAAAAGTCATTTATTCCTAAGGTCCTCAAGAACTCAAATGTGTCCTCAAAAGGAGACATCCAAGAGCAGCCGTACTCACACCATGTCACCCCCTGACTGTCGCACAGCACCACTGATTGTAGCTGCTCAATCATCCACTTGAAATACTCAACGTGCGCAGCGTGTGTCGCTGTCCCTCTCCTCTTGGGTCTTCCGGGCCCCCAGCTCGGGTCCTCAGAGCAGAAATAAAACCCTTCTGACAAACTGAAAAAATGTTTGAGCGGCAAAAATATCAAATAAGAGACTTCGGATGTTCCTTTGTCTGTGTTCTAGGTCCACTTTACAAGCTAATCTAATACCAAGAGTAAGTGTTCAAATGAATCACCTTCATGTAACGAAACCATGATGTTAACATCAGCGGTAGACCATTCATAGCCATTAAAGAGGAATGTGAGTAAGTCAAAGGACTGACCCGTAAGATGCTCATGGTTTGTATCTGGGACGCAGCGGCGTGTTCCTTAGACGCAATAAATAAGAGGCAGGATTAAGGCTGCAAGATTTAGTAAAGCCAAAGGCTATTTCCCAAATTTAGGGTCCAATATATATAGTTTTCAAATTCGATGCTATTTGGTCTCATTCTCCACCTTCCCTCAACCTCAACTTCTTTTTTAACCAGGTTAAAGTAAATATAGAGACAAATCACAAAAAACACCTGTTTAAGTAGATAAGGATATTCATTTTGGTATCTGGGGACGTTCTATAAGCTGTGGAAAATTTGGCGTTGAATCAGATATTGACTTGCTGACACCGGGGCCAGCTAGCTGCAGCAACAGCACGTCAGTCTTTTGATTGAACACGCACCAGGGACAGGCAGCGAACTGAACCTGATGACCCTGCGGCGACCTGAACGAGCTCCTTCTTGTCGACCTACAAGCTGTTTTTTTCAACCCACAGGTGATGAAGGAGAGGAGATCGATTTGGTTACAGATATACTTACAACGCCATTTTGTGGACAGGCTTTTCAATACATCCTGAGACATGGTCGGCCAATCGGGATGCTAGCGAGCGATTGTGATGGTGTTAGGAGGTGGATTAATTCAGCTAGGACTGTGTCTGACCTATAAGCACAGACAATAGAAGCATAACATCTTTTGAATCATTAGAGCATGTAAACATGCTCTGCTACAAACCCTTTAACTGGCTCCTTTTTAATGCAAAGGCACTTCTACTCTGATCTGCCTGCTGATGTCTGAGCATTTCACCTAACGAAGATTCACTTGAGCTTTAATAGACGCATCAAACATATTTAAATGTCTGGAAAGATTTATGTTATTATTCACTCATAATGCAGGAGCTGCATCTGCTTCTCGTCTCATTCGTCTTTTCTCAACTATTTGCTTTTAGTTTCCTGTTTTCTCTGTACATTTAAGACAGAGGTTATCTCAAAGGCAACATGTGTTTCCATGTAGAGGCGCCCCTTTCATATGTGACACACGCAAAGAACATACAGCAGTGACCTTTTATTTATGATCCACCATCAGCCTGGTCTCTCTCATTCTACACACACACACTGACACAGTTGTTGAAAGACTTAGTGCAGACACTCAGGATGAAGAAGACAGGAGACACGTATTTAAGGATATATGAACAATCCTGTCAGAGAAAATACAAGGAAAACTTGCTTTTACAATTAAACACACATTTAAATGTGTTGTTGTGCATAAATACACAACACAATGATGACAAGATTTGGGGACGTGTTTAACCGTTTGTATTTGGAGTTCTACTGAACAAATGAATAAGGTCACTGATTTTTCATTTGACAATGATATTCCAATTGATATTTACA